ATTTAGCACAAAAAAAAAATTCAGAATCAACTGCAAAATGCTCATATTTTGCCCTGAACAGTTGAAAGCAGTCCTTTTCTTCCTAGTTGTTACAGTTATTCCATCTTTCAATGCAGTGGTATTATTAAACCATTTAATTTTGAACCAGCCTGGTGTGTTGACTTCATGGCTCCTATCGTACCATTTTGGGCCATAATAGGATGCCTAGGCCTTTTAGTATTTTTTTTCGCCCGCCTGCTCCATTATTTTTCTAGAAAAATCCGTTGACCGTTAATTAAATTGGTCTGGCCTTAGGCTCAAATATAATATTAAACTTTATACATTGAGCCCATTGAAATGTTGTCTTAAGTTTTTACTTTCTCAGAAACTTTACTAGATAATGATCTTAGTATGGTAGAGCTTTAATCAACAGATTAAGATGTCATCTTCCAGTAATGTTGTTGAGACACAGAGTGACAGAATTTCATCCATGACTATGAACACAATAATGTATAATTGAATTTCTGCTGTTATTATACACAAACATGCAAAGAAGGCATTATTTCTCTAGGGACTGTGTAATCTTTTCTTTCTCTGTGTGTCACATAACCTTCAGAAAGTACATGTAACTGTACATATCAGACTTGAAAAGTACTAGTATTCAGATTGACGTGATGAAAGGAGACATACTTTTATCCTTAGTTTGATAACTTAAGAGCATAAAGCCAGTTAGCCACAAAGTTGATATGAGCCAACTTGATATGAACCAAGCACGGGTAGCTATTAGCTTTGTATTGCATTGTAATGTTCTATGTGTGTTGTTTCTATCAACACGTTTTAGTCAAGCTTCATATGGAAGTTATTTCTTTGGGTTGGAAAATTGCTATGGTTGTAATTTCTTGAGTTGGCTACCCATTGGTCTCTTTTACAGTTACTGTAGTAAATGATATTTGTGCACCTTGTGTATTACAAATGGTAATACAGTTTTACACTGTACAGATTTCTGGAACTAGCACATACATGTACAATGGAAAACATGCCAACCAAAGCCATAACCCTTTGAATATAGTATTCATGGTCGAGCCCCCACAGTATGTAATATACAGGATGTTTCTAACCAAAAATTTATAGAAATCCTCATGGTTAATTTAAAGCTGACACATACAGCAACCTTATCAGTCAGGGGAATGTGCTGGGCTTGTGTTAGATCTTTGTTGATATCTTCTGAAACATCTGATAATTGCAACTGAAGCCATAAGAAACTGATGCAGCCACATTAGCCTCTTGAAGCATTCAGCTAACAGAATGGGCGTGGAGAAAAATAATGGGGTAGATTTTGTATCAGGCTAGTCATTCACCAAGTATCAACAAAAGGAGTTCCCAGTTCCAAGTCAAGCCTGTAAAGCACTTTAAAATGATATCTGATATATGTTTAAATTATATCTGAGGTTTCAAGTCTGTAACTGCAAGACAACTCCAGCTTCTACTCTCAGTATTCCTCCTTATACCTATCATGTTATATCTATTGTAATCAGATACTTTTTTTATTAAATAAATAACTCATTTCCAATAACATAGCAAAAGGCTATTGATTACATCCTTGCTGATTTGGAAATACATTCGGTTTCCATGTCAAAATGTAAAATGAAGTCCTCAATGCAAATATTTCCAGTTAATGGACATCTATAATTAGCCTATGAACAATTCACCAGGTGTTGTTGCTGGTACATTTACCATGCAGGTCATTGATGAGGTAACTCATTGATAACTACCTATCTTCCCCTGAAATCACTATCCACTTAATCAACCATAAATGTGCTGGT